CCTATTAGTCGTTGTAACCATTGTACTCTAGTAGCAGCTACCTTAAAAATCTAAAACGCTATAGTTAATGTTATTCTTCGCACGAAGCTTGTTCAACCTTTACTTATTAGTTGTGGTAACCATTCAACTGTAGTAGCAGTAACTTTATAAAGTTGAATGTACAGTGATCACTATCAAATATAATTTCGATGTAACTGTGTCTGATTAAAATATTTTGCATTTGAGCACGAAGCTTGTGCAATCTTTACCTATTAGTTACCGTAACCATTCAACTGTAGTAGCAGCAACTTAAAAAATAATAAATTATTATCTTTAGTTGAATCAACTATAGAATTTTTTTTTATTAACTATAATATAGTTAACTCAGCTATATATATTAGTTCTACGTGCAAAACTTGTATAGTCGTCACCTTTATATTTGCCATAACTATGAATTTTTCTCTCAGTGTAACGACATTACTTTTATAGTAACGATTACTTTATAATAACGGTTTGGTGATAAAAAATTACAATGTCACTCAACTCCGTTTAAGTTATTTAATATGATATATTTATTAATAATTAATTATATTATGTAATTTGTACATTTCAAAACTTTTTTATATTAACTAAGAAACATTAAAAAATGTTTTCTTTGAGACTTAATATTCTTTTTTTCTGCAAATATAATTACCATAGATATCTATGATATAGATATCATAGATAACATAGATATTTATAGATATCTATGATAATTACACACAATTTAGTTTTGTTATGTACATCATATATATATCATTAATACAATTTTGTTTGCATGTATGTTAATCCTTCGTTGCCACGCTATAGTAATGATATACTTTGGTATGACATACCCAATCCAATTCGATTGCTGGTAACTTTCATGAAAATGAATATGTTGTAAAGAATACTTTTTTCAATTGAAACATTGGATATTAAGAAACATAACGGTACTAACTAAGCAAATCTTTGGAAGCATTGGAAACGAAAGACCAGATATGCCATTATATACTACTCAACAAAAAAATAGAGAATACTTTTAAAACACTCAACATTTCACAATTTTTGGATCACCAAAAGTTGATGAAAAATCATCACTGATAAAAAAAATAAAAAAGCTTTTTGAAACTCTTAAGCCTGATCTACAATTGCGTAAACGTAATTGTAAGTGGTCGTAGTTGTAACAATTCACCAATCACAGTCAGATATTCTCCTCGTATTCAAATGTGATTGGTTAATTCTTACAATTACAACTACGTTTACGTAATTGTAAATCGGGTTTTATATTTCTGCATTTAACAGTCTGCAGCTCAATACAACATTTTTTTCTCAAAATAATTCAATACTTTTACAAAAGTACAGTATTTTATCTATAAAACGTCCTTCAAAAATTTTCTTACAATTTTTCTTAGCTGAATTACGCAACTTTGAAGCTAAACCTGCATTTCTTAAAACCAATGTTAAAATTCGGCAAAAAATCATTGCAAAAATTTTTTTTATCTCTCAATTCTGCAGAATTAAATTTATAAACAATCAAAAGCATATTAAAATACAAATTTTGAGCTTCGAAATGCTTTTTGCAATTTTTCGCCGATTTTAAAAATTTGATTGTAAGAAATGCATATTTAGTTTTAAAGTCTAATAATTGATCGGTCAAGAAAAATTGTAAGAAAATTAAAAAAAAATATTTTGCAGATAAAACTTTGTACTTTTTTGTAAAAACATTAAATTTTTTAGAAAAATTTTTTATCGAATTGCAAACTATTAAATGTATGTAATTTTAAAGAACCTAATAATGTGCTATTTAAAGATATTGAACAGTAAAAATAAAGATTTTTTGGAAAAATAGCCAAAAGCATGTTAGAATACAAGTTTCAAGGCTCGAAAATGCTTTTTTACTTTTTAAGAAATAAAAGCTAAATGGCCAAACTTGCATCTTTGGTATTGAAACAATTCCATGTGAATTTATATACCACAATCCTTCAAACTGCGCACCGAATTTATTTTCAGACTCGAAACGCAATCCTAACAAGTCTAGAACAGTAATATCACAAATTAAATTGACAAGTAATTTAATAATAATGATGCTCGTAAGTACATCTTAAAACTATAAATAATTTTATTGCAAAAAGTATTACCTTGACCGAAAATCGAATCTGGATATCATGCATTGCGTGCGTGACATCCTTTATTTCTTGTTGTATGACCATATCGTGGTTTAAAGTGATACTTTAATATTGTTTTTATTTTTTTGTCTGTGATGATTTTTCACTAAGTTTCGATGATTTGAAAATTGTGCAATTTTGAGCGTTTTGAGTATGTTTTCTAACTTTTGTTAAGTATGTGTGTATACCAATAAAGTAACATCGAAGAATTAATAATTATCATATATATTACCTACTCAACATTGCATCGAATAATTGTTTACATGCAATTAAATGTATCAATTCAATCAATGTCAATAATAATTTAAAATAGTAGAGAATTAAAGGGATGCTGGAGTGTTTTGTTTTACCATTAATTTTTAAAGATTCTTTTCTCTTAATTGTGTTTATGGATTGAAAAGTCCTTCTCCACAATTAAAGTATCGACAACAACACAGGCTGTCAGCTACAATTTAATACGAAAAATGGAAGAAAATTAAAAATTGTAGTTTTGTCACCGGCTCCCGCAGTCAACTCGTCACAATATGTGCTGCATATAAGAGTTTCAGATTTTACCCGTTTAAAATAAGTAGCCAACAGCCTACAGAAAACCTCGAAGAATAATCCTATGCTTTTAGAAACGAGGTAAAGGCTTTGATATAAGAGAAAAGAGTCGCCAAAAATTTCGTTCGTATACTACGAATAAAATTAACGTGAAGCCATGAAACCGAGCAGTATTTTAGTTGATCTCTTTCTAAGAGATGGCGTTGCAATATGATAGATAAGGACAAATGAATACGTTTGAGCGAGACACAACGATATATGATAAGTATAAGAAATAAATGAAAGATGTCACTATTATCGAATTTGGAATTTACAAAAGTTTGTACTATCGACCTCGCTTAAGTTTGACTGTCACTCCAGCATCCCCTTAATAAATACTACGAGCCATGTACATACATATATATACAGGGTGGACCATCTGAAGTGATCCAGTCAAATATCTTGAAAACTAGTAGGGATAGAGAAAAATGTTTCGTATGAAAAGTTTAGGGTTACACAGGGGAAGTATGGTACTGACCTTGAAAAATCCTTGGAAGGTCATTTTGAAGGTCATTCAGGGGTCACGATGGTTTTTTTAAATGGAAACCCTAGTTTTTCACCATGGGATGAGAAAGCTGGTTTCAAGCCCTTTACGAAACACTGGTTGTGGTCCACAATCCGCCCACTGGGGTCCGAGTTATGGACCATCAAAGTCATTGATGAACTACTCTTAGCGCTACCCA